ACCTCTCATCAACCCGAGAATACCATCCCCACAGTGAAGCATGGTGGTGGCAGCATCATGCTGTGGGGATGTTTTTCATCGGCAGGGACTGGGAAACTGGTCAGAATTGAAGGAATGATGGATGGCGCTAAATACAGGGAAATTCTTAAAGGAAAACCTGTTTCAGTCTTCCAGAGATTTGAGACTGGGACGGAGGTTCACCTTCCAGCAGGACAATGACCCTAAGCATACTGCTAAAGCAACACTTGAGTGGTTTAAGGGGAAACATTTAAATGTCTTGGAATGGCCTAGTCAAAGCCCAGACCTCAATCCAATTGAGAATCTGTGGTATGACTTAAAGATTGCTGTACACCAGCGGAACCCATCCAACTTGAAGGAGCTGGAGCAGTTTTGCCTTGAAGAATGGGCAAAAATCCCAGTGGCTAGATGTGCCAAGCTTATAGAGACATACCCCAGCTGTAATTTCTGCAAAAGGTGGCTCTACAAAGTATTGACTTTAATTCCAGGTTGTAAGGCAACAAAATAGGAAAAATACCTAGGGGGTTGAATACTTTCGCAAGCCACTGTAGCCTCATTATTGTTATTTTATTGTGTTGCTTTTTTTTTTTTTTTTTTTAGTTTATTTAGTAAATATCTCTAAAACTCTATTTTCTTAAAACTGCATTTTTGGTTAAGGGCTTGTACGTACGCATTTCATGGTAAGGTCTACACCTGTTGTATTCGGCGCATGTGACAAATGAAATTTGATTTGATTTGATTGAGTTCTATCTGTCAAGTAATTTTTTAACCAGTTACATGCAGCCTGGTCTAGACCAATTGAGGAAAGCCTCTGAATTAGCAGTGAGTGATCAACAGTATTGAAAGCCTTTGACAAGTTAATGAAGAGGGCAGCACAATGTTGCCTTTATGCTTATTCAGTATTTTGATTGGACGAATGGTGGCGTGCAAAGTAAATTAGTCGAGGTTAAAAATACTCCAAATGAGACAGTTGATACGATCGCGCAATACATCAAAGAAACACTGGAAAATAATGGCATTTTTTCTAAATGTATTGCATTTACGGGTGACAACTGCAATACAATGTTCGGGGGTATCTGGAGTGCTAACGAAGGAAAGAATGTTTTCGCAAACTTAAAGAAGTCATTGCAGAACAAGTCTTTAATCGTTGTGGGCTGCCCAGCACGTTGGATCTGAGTGAGACACCTGACTGGAATGACATAGAAGCCTGTATCAAACACCTGGGAGAAAAGGGGGTGCCAATTGATGATGCAAAGTGCTTCAGGTCACCAACCTGAAGAAATTCACAGAAAGGTGTAACAGTGATGGAGAGTTCAGTAATCTGCAAGCACACAAGAAGTGGACCAAATATTTTGAAAGGTCCAAAAGCATAGATTTTCATTCAGAGCTACTGAAGATTGCACAGTTTTTCTTTGCTATTCCTTCTCACAATGCAAATGTAGAGAGAGTTTTTTCACTGATGTTCACAGTGGACAAAGGAAAGGAATCACTTGTCTGTTGAGTCATTGAAGGGGCTTCTGTGTACACAATACAACTTAAAAAACATGTCTGGCAAAGACTTTCATGCCTACTTGATTGGTAATCAAGGACTGTTGGGAAAGATTCGATCTTTGGGAAAGTATACCAGAGAGCATCAGGAGGACTGACATTATTTTTGACTGAAATAGTGGATTTTTTTATGACAACAGTTTTTTTTTCTTGTTTTTCTTGTTTTTTTTAACCTATGGCCATGAAAAGAAACAGTGTCATGTAAAAGGTGTTAAAAGCTCAACTTTGTTTTTGTTTTTTTGTTATTCTATTGTTGAGGGCCAACAGTTGAATGGAATGGATGTATTACTTTATGTATTAAAGTTCAATAACATAGTTGCATGGTTGTGAACGCATTTGTATTTACAACCCACTGCAGGTGTCTGTCTGCCTCCCGCTCCCACTGTCCTCTTTTTAGAAAACTAAAATATGGTCACCCTACCTAAAATTGCATTTGACAACCTGTGTTACTGAATGTAGCATCACCTTTTGTTCAAAAATGTATGGTTTGGGAAATAATCTTGCTTTTTAAGGCTGGTACCCATTGTATAAAATCAATAATACACTTGAGGCCATGTGTTATGACATTTTGATAATGGTGCCCCTCATGTATTATTGCTTAAATAATCTTCAGAAATGATTTTGTCAAAGTAACAAAATAGCTTTACAATGATGGTGAAACCTTGGGGCTGTTGGTGTTAAAATCTTCCTAGAAGTCACAGAGGATGCACAGAGGGACATGTCAAATTGCTGGATTTTGGCACTCTAGCAAGTCTTTGTTCATTATAAAAATCTGATTTTTTTTTATTGTCCATGTGTTCATTAATTAAAGGGTGAGTCAGCAGTTGCTACATCCATTTTTGGACTTATAAATTAATGATATGTCCACCGCCTTGATTCTTGAAGAATATAAACTTATAAAATTCCCCCTCATGAGCTTTAGAGTTCACTGTTGTCACCCCATCAAAACCGAAAATCTGTAAAAGCCTCCAAACACTTAATGTTAGATGTTTTTTTTTTCTCCAGACCCATCCTTTAGCGTTTTACCAAAACAGTGGCGGAGAGTATGCTTTGTTATTGTTTCAACTGCTGATTGGCCGTTTAAAGGGCACTTTAATAGGCTTTAAAATCAATCGGTGCACTGCAAAAATCATAGGGCACAAAAAACACTTTTTCATTGAATCGGATAATCTCAAATTCATTGTTTTACACATGTCTTTCACATCATGATGGCCAAATATCAAAGTCATCTGTGGTATGGTGACCTACTCCGAACAAAACTGACCTTTATACTTTCATAGAATGATGCAACCGTGAGCTAGGATGCCATTTCTGTTTTCCCTTGCATTGTTTTACACAAATGTTTTTAAAGTTAGTTTGTATTGTGTTGATGATTTTCTTGTATATATTGTATGTGAATTGTGTCAAATAATTCAGCATCGGCTGCCATTGATACTTTGTAATGTCGAATTAATGTGAAATAAACCATTCTTAGAACATTCATGTCCATTTTAGTATTCCAATTCCTATTTATGTAAACTCATGACATGAGCTCAGGGTGGCTCACGAGGTTGTACGACTACTATTACTAGCTACCAGTAGGTGGCGGTACAATGCAAGTAACGTGTGGTTTGTTTTCTCCTCTTGGTAACAAAAATCATGTTGACCCGTTTGCAGTCTTGAAGATGGTGAAGGACGAATTGGGTGAAGTGGAATCGGTCAGAGTGACCAGGAGCGGTAAGGTGTTGATTTCCTGTGTGTCAAAAGCGCACAAGGAGAAAGCTCTGTGGCTCTACAAGATGTCGACGTATGATGTGGAAAGCTTTGATTTTCAGAGTAGGGCACCGGTTAAAGGTGTCATATCTTGTGTCTCGTTGGACATAGAGGCTGTGTAGTTTAGGGATAACATTCCAGGAGTGGTAGACGCACGTCGCTTGAATCGAATGATAGATGGAAAGAAGGAGCAAAGCCTATCGTTTTTACTGTCGTTTGATGAAGTGGTTCACCCGACTTATGTAAAACTTGGGTATGTGAGATATGCGGTGAGACCATATGCACAGAAGCAACTGCAGTGTTACAATTCTGAAAAGTTTGGACACGTGGCAAGTGTTTGTCGAAGGAATAAATGCTGTATGTAGCAGTTGAAGAGTCATGAAGCATGTTGTAATTGTGATGGGAATCACGTTCCCGGAGTGCCCTGTAAGGATGAAGGAGGTCGCAGTAGATAGGATCAGGGCTATCCAGCAGGTCTCCTATGTGGAGGCAGTGAAAATAGCTAAAGGAGTGAGTAGAGATGAGATGGTAGTGGATGGCCCACAGTCTGCAGTGAATACCATGGAGGAGAAGGATCCCGACACACTAACAGTGAAGAAGGTGGACTTTGTTGTCTTTATAGCGCAAGTGATAAATTGCACTAGTCAACTAATAAAACGTCTAAGAAGTTAGACATCATTGTGAAGGCGGCAAATAGATTTCTGGATCTTCAGGACTCTACAGCCGAAATATTACAGGGAGTACCGAATTAAGAGGTTCCCCCCTCCCAGGTTACATGAGCCTGTGTATGGATCTGAATAGGCATTTTTATTCCGACCGAAGGAGTAGTGTTTATTTTATTTTTAAAATACAAGGTGGTAGCGTGAATTTGGTTAGTGTTTTTGGTTATTACTAGTATGAATTTGTTCATCCAAAACATATTTTGTTTTGGGGGTATTTTTACTACCCCGTACAGTAGGTGGCGGCAATACACCTTATGAGTGTAGTCTGCCAATAAACATCAAATAAGAAAAACTGTCAAGCGTTACTAGGGAAGTGGAAAGTTTGGTGCTAAGCGTTCGGAGCTAAGCTCAAAATAGCTAGCGAGCTACCTCAGTAACGATATATTCGCACAATGTTGTAATGGACTAAACTTGATTTGGCTTTCCCCCCAGGTATCTAACGACAATAAGTTGATTCAATGTAGTGTCATGTCTAATGCATTGTCTTTCCCAGACTGCCACATTCCTAGCAAGCTAGCGTTCTGCTGTCCTAGGTTAGAATATTAGCTAGCACAATAGCTAGCTAGCTACAACGTTTGACCAATGTGTTTCTGCTAGCTATCTAGCGAACGTTATGTGAATTCGAATGCTAGATAGGGCGCATAGCAAGCAGCTAGCTAGCTATCTTTGCTAGCAGAACCAGATGGGCAGAACCATGTTTACGAGTAGGTAGCTAGCTAGTTAGCCAGTCAGCTTTACATGTGATCACAGTAGCTAGCAAGTTTAGAATCCAGTTAACATTACTGCCAACAGAGCTGTCAAAGATACTGGTAACTAAGGTTTCCTCTTTTGTCTGTGGGTTCTCTCTTCCGGTAATTTAGCTAGCTAACATGAGCCAACCATATGTGCAGTTAACTAAGCTAACGTAGTTGGCTCTTCAAATCGTTACCTACCTAGCTAGCTTCATTGCTTGTGTGAGATGAGTAACAGAGCAAGTGTCTAGCTAGCTAGTGTAAAGTTTGAGCAAAGGAATGGAACAGAACAATCAAGCATAACATTATAAATATTATAAATTGTTTCTCAATAATAGTAGCTATAATTGTTTTCTAGATTACCTCCTCCATGCCATGCTATTGACATCTGACAGAAGGTGCAGCCTGGCATGAGGATGACTGAGAATGGGGAGGACAGCAGCCGCTCTCAGCCTGATGGAGTGTTACCTCGTGGAGCTCCTGGTGGGAAGGATCCAGGAGGAGTTAGCGGTGACAAGAGGCCAGTGAACCCCCCTACAGAGGACAACAAACCCACCATGCTTCTCAACGACACCCTGAAATTCCCTCAGGATGTAGGAGACCAAAGCAGCAAGACAGGTCTCCATCAGCCGCGACCTCCCCTGCTGCCCAAGCCCCCTGCACTGTCGAAGGGAGGGAAGAGCAGTTCGGTGGAGGAGGTGAGAAGCAGAAGACTTAAGCACAGCCAGGAGAGTCTGACTGACCCAGCTGAGACTGGTTCCTCCACAGACTCCCTTAAGGAGGACTCGACAGTTACAGGTGTGTTCACCTTGAGCGGTGCTGCCACCTTAAGGAATGGACAGGGCTCCATTGTTGAACCCCTCTCGACTCCTACAGGGTCCCCTGTCTTCAGAGCCAGGGGCCAGAGCCTCTCAGAGTACGAGAGGAGGCCCCTCGACCACCACAGTGACCCAGCGGAGCAGCGGGTGAGGTCCTCCAAGGTACGTCTCTCTCCCTTACAGCCATCGGGTCCACTTCCTGCTCTGGAGCAGAGCTTGGCGTCGGAGTCCTTAAGGACGGCTAATCGGATTGACAGGGATTGCGTGGATTATGCCATTGTGCCGGGGAGAGCTGGGCCGGAGAGGCTGCACCTGCACAGGAATCTGAGCGACAGCCGGCTTCTGGATAACATGGTGTTGGACAACACCTCTGTCAACTCCATGAAGTCCACCTTCAGTGTGTTGAACCCCATCAGACCCAGGGACGTCAGGAACAGGTAGGGCTACACGACTCACTCATCATATCCTCTCCAGATTACTGACCAGATACGTACTGCAGAAGCCTTCTCTACATGTATTTGATACCATACCGGTATCAGAGTGCTATTAGAAGTCTTGATAGCTTTCAGAAGGCGTTGAAGTTGTAATAGATTAACAAATTCTGGATCTAAATATGGTGTATAAAGTATCCTTTGAATGTTTGATGCAACTCTAAAATGAAGATAGGTGATGCTCCATTCCATTGATACAATAATGCACTCCCTGTGATGTGGAACATGACATCTCATGATAAGAATTGAGGTGGGCCTTGAGTTAAATATATTCTGCATGAAATACAGACGGACATTTGAGCTATTGTAACTTATTGTGAACAGTCATAATCACGATCAGCGAATTGTAACCAAGAAGACTATGCTGTAATTATTACCATGGCACATCTGCAGCTAGGGCATTAGCATTGGTGTGTACTCTAGCAACACTGGCTGCAGTTCTGCATTAATGAAGGCCTCAGGGGCTTATGGTATGTTAAGTGCTCACACTGACAGAGGAAATTGTAAGGTGGGAGTGTGTGAATCAGCATAGCTTTTGCCACCATTCAGGGAGCAAAGATGGGTCTCAATACACGTGTTGTGCCTCAGCAAGGAGCTTTTCAAGGAATCAGAAGATTTATCTGAAATGTTTCAGTCAGCTATATGCTATGGAAGAAGCCTATGTTTTGAAATGTGTGTCAGTGCCAATAATATCCAGCATTCTTTGAATTGTGTGTGTGTATGCTACTGAAATGTTATAGTGTAGCCTACCAGACATTTGAAATGGAGTTTGGTTCAAAGTAGCCAAGAAACGGTTTTTTAGAGCAAGCAGGAAAAACAGTGCTGCTATACCTCAGGTTATGAAGTGTTCATTTCCTCATTGTATTCCAGGAGTTTTCTGGAGGGCAGTGTGCTGGGCAGTGGTGCCCTTCTGGGAGCTGAGGAGCTGGACCGCTATTTCCCAGAGAGGAGAGTTGGGCATCTACATAGCCACATGGAACATGCATGGAGAGAAGGTGGGGCCACTCCTACTGTTCAACATTAGGCCTAGAGCCTGAATATCTGTTTCTACACACATTCTACACTCACTCTTTGATAGCGTGTTTCCTGGTATTCCTTCCATATCATTTTCAGGGACTTCCAAACAACCTAGATGATCTGTTGCTCCCGACGGACTCTGAATTGCACAAGACTTTTACATCATCGGAGTCCAGGAGGGATGTCCAGACCGGTATGAGATGACTGTGTATGAGTGCATTTTGCATTATATCAATGAAGTCTAAAGTACTCTGCTGATGTGTGTGTCACAGGAGGGAATGGGAGATCCGTCTTCAGGAGACTCTGGGGCCGTACTACGTCATGCTCTACACAGCCTCCCACGGGGTTCTCTACCTCACTGTGTTCGTCAGGAGGGACCTTATTTGGTTCTGCTCAGGTCTGTCCCAAAAAAAAAATGTCTAAGGAAAGTGAATCAGTCCTTTCCCATCAACAAATCTCAGAAGGTTGTCTCTAATTGAAATGTTGTTAAAGAGGCAACATTTATAAGGTGATCTCTCTGGCTATCTACTGCACATTTTATGTGTACAGTACGTGATCTGATTTGGTTCCTGTAACCATCGCATCTCCTAACAGAAGTGGAGCATGCCACGGTCACAACACGCATCATGTCTCAAATCAAAACCAAAGGAGCCGTGGGGATCGGCTTCACCTTCTTTGGCACTTCCTTCCTCTTCATCACCTCCCATTTTACCTGTGAGTGACAGTTACATGATGTGAATGTAAACAGGAAGTGGAAAGCCTTTGGACACAGTCGCACTACTAACTAGGTGATTTAAGAAATGTCCTTATGTTCCAGCTGGAGATTCCAGAGTGTACGAGAGGATTCTGGACTACAACAAGATCGTTGAAGCACTTGCTCTCCCTAAAGTTCTTCCAGACACCAACCCTTACCGCTCCACATCCTGTAAGTACTCTTAAAGATGAGCTGTTCATTGCAGTACTACTACTATGTTGCAGTACTGCTGTCACATCTAGAAGAGCATCCTAATTGTGTGAGGAGAAATGCTGTAGTTTCCCTCATGCAACAAGTACTCAATAAGTACATTGTTAATCCTACTGATAATGACTGTTTCATGGCTTTCAGCGGATGTGACAACACGGTTTGATGAGGTTTTCTGGTTTGGGGACTTTAACTTCCGTCTGAGTAAAGACCGTGTGGAGGTAGAGGTCCTTCTAAACCAGAACCAGGGTGTGGACATGGGCCCTCTGCTCCACCATGACCAACTCTCCAAGGAAATGAAGGATGGTACGTCTACATGGAACAACACAATTCTAACAATAATAACCAGAGGTTTAGGCAAATATTACATGTATTAGATTGTGAATGATATCTCAATCTGTTATTTACTGCTGCGCAGCGGTCTAAGGCACTGCATCTCAGTGCTTGAGGCGTCACTACAGACTACAGACCCCCTGGTTCAATTCCAGGCTGTATCACAACCGGCCGTGATTGGGAGTCCCATAGGGCGGCGCACAATTGGCCCAGCGTCGTCTGGGTTTGGCCAGTGTAGGCCGTCATTGTAAATAAGAATTTGTTCTTAACTGACTTGCCTAGTTAAATAAAGGTAAAAAAAAAATATATATTGTAATTTCTATTTTTTACTTAACACTTATTTTTCTTAAAACTGCATTGTTGGTTAAGGGCTTGTAAGTAAGCATTTCACTGTAAGGTCTACACCTGTTGTATTCGGCGCATGTGACAAATACAATTTGATTTGATTTGTTACCATGCTCACTGTGACAGATACTTAAAAATAGAATGCAAATGTATTATGCTCTGTTCAAGGTTCCATCTTTAAAGGCTTCCAGGAAGCACAGATTCAGTTCATCCCCACCTACAAATTTGACGTTGGCTATGACGTGTATGACACCAACCTCTAAGCAGAGAACTCCCTCATACACAGTACGTGTCAGCACCAGTCATACCCTGTGTCATTCATACAAGCAAGCCTCTTTGTTTTTATATAGGCTTGTTTTAAACACACAAAAATGAATGTTATATTTTACTGTTCCTCTGTGTGCTCTAGGACAGAATACTGTTCAGGAACAGGCAGGTGGATGACATCAAAGTGATAAAGTACACCAGCTGTTCAACGATAAAGACGTCAGACCACCGGCCTGTCATCGGCATGTTCCAGGTCAAACTCCGTCCTGGAAGAGACAAGTGAGTCCCACCCCTTCCTCGCTTAGCTGTTGTAGCAGCAAGCTTTTTGCAGCTTTCAGCTCTAACAGTATTCATGTTTGTAGAAGTAATAGGTGTCCGAAAGTGCGGTCAACGAAAAGCTCAGTTTATTTAGAACAGTTGGTTAACCCTTTTATTTGTTGTTCACTGTCTGGTGTGTTTCTCAGTATTCCTCTGGGTGCAGGCCAGTTTGACAGGAGTCTGTACCTGGAGGGCATCAGGAGGAGGATCACCAGAGAGCTGAAGAAGAGAGAAGCCATGAAGAACCAGGGCAGCAGCAGCACCATCTGCTCCATCTCCTGAACCTGAACCAGACTGGATCTCCCTCCAGAATCACTGACCCAGCCATGAGGGACCAAAGGGAACCAGTCTTGTGTTTCCACTTCCAGTCTGTGGGAGAATCTGTTGGTTTTGTTCGACTCCTTGCGTCCTCTCCTCCATCTTCTCCTCGCCTGCTTTTGAAAAAGGTCAAAGGTAATCGAGGAGCAGAGTCGAGGAGAGGAACCATAGAAACAAATGTGCTTGTATGAAATTACTCTAGTTCTCCACTTGTGCGTCATCGGGCAAATTACGTTTACAGAGGTAAAATCCCAAAATAAATGAGTAAAGTGATAAAACAAATGTAGCTAGTTGTGCATAATAGATAAAAGGACAGTAGCGTATAGTTTTTTAAATGTGTGCATACATTTCTCCTTCGAGAAAACAACAGCTGATTCAAAGGGGGTGTGGTGGATTTTAAAACACTTAAGCGCTAGCCGAGGATACTCTTGTGCATCCTCTGCTGAAGTAGGTAATCGAGGAGGTGAGCAGACTCCTCCGTTCGCCGACTAACGAATTGACACTCCTCGACCAGTCGACCACTTATCGCTTTCCGGGTCACGGAGGAAAGGATGGACTTTTTCCCCAATTGAGAATCTCCCTGTGAGTCATGGAAGTCACGTCGGCTGATCCATGAGCGCCCCCCGTACTGAGAGCTGTTGGAACTGTGTCACTCATATGGTTTAGGGGGGGCTGAGGAGGTAGCTGCGGGGCTGTTCTCGAGGGCAGGGACCTTGAGTTCAGACAGACTCCAGTCTGCAGACTCAGCAGTAAACTGGTCTATTTATACAGCCCTTCTACAAACAAGACTGAACTGGGGAACCTGACATTGAAGATGACCTTTGTCAGTCAGCCAGTCACACATCTTCATCCGTGTGCGCTGGTTGGATGAAGTTGCTCTGAGTATACTGTACTTAATACGTTATTATAATTTTTTTGTACATTTATTTAACAAGCCAGGTTGAAATGGACCATATGTAATGTCACCTCTTTATTACTTGGTGTAGATGTATTCAAAGGCTCCCGAGTGGCGCAGCGGTCTAAGGCACTGCATCTCAGTGCTTGAGGTGTCACTACAGACCCCCTGGTTCGATTCCAGGCTGTATCACAACCGGTCGTGATTGGTCCAGCGTCGTCCGGGTTTGGCCGGTGTAGGCTGTCATTGTAAATAAGAATTTGTTCTTAACTGACTTGCTTTGTTAAATAAAGGTAAAAGTAAAAATGTGTTTTAACAAAAAATATTTTTCATCAAACAGCTCTTAAGCAGTATAAAGCACTTTCTTATACCAAACTTTTTGTTTTTTCTTGGATTTCCTCAAATAAAGAAAAAACGGACCCAAGGTTTTGCAGAAATTGACTTATCCCTATCAAATTTAAGGGGAATTTGTTATTTTGATGTTGCTTGATGAACATACATTCCCTGCAAGTATGGTACTTATTGAATTAATGCATGGTGGCTTTTCTGGCATTGTATAAAAACAGATGCATGAGTGATATCTGTAAAACATTTTACTTATTTACATATTGTTTAATATCTCACAATGGATACAGAACCATCTTTTGCAATGGTGATGTTGATCATGTTGGAGGGGTTGAACTCTGGTTCATTGCCTTAATGTCATCTGTCGTGACTAAATGAAATACACTCATGGAACTTAATCAAAAAATACTTTCCATGTACTGTATTGTGCTAACGAAGGGAAGAGAATCCATTGCATGAAGCTCAATGGTTCTGGTGTAATGGTGAATCATGAGTCCTCATTCACTTTAATGCTCATGGCAAGTGCTTGTGATCTTGTTTGTGATTTCCTCAGGGCTCCATAACTGTGCGTCTTTTATAACACATGATTTGTGATGTAACATCACAGAACATTTTTGGAATATTTGTTATTTCTGTTTTTTTGAGATTGTGAAACAAATGTTTCCTTTTGTCATCTGAAGTGGACATTAAAATATCTCAAAAGACAGAGTATAATCATTTTATAAATGCTCATTGACGCTTCAAACATGACTCAAAATATATATTTTTATTCATGGGAATATTTATTAATTTACCAGAAACAAACCTCCAATTGGCCTAAATAGATATACATATGGGTCATCACATTCAATATTTACAATTTCTCTCCAGGACCCAGAGAAACCTTGGTTTGAAATAAAATTGTGTCAGTATTCAGAAACAGAAAGTGAAAAAGCTGTGTGGAGACATTATTACAATTTAGAGAAGACATACCATTCCTCTACTATATTGCAAAATAGTTTTGCAACTGAGGAGAAACAAATGTAAAAGACTTTTCTGGCACCTGAAAGGATATCAGCACATACACATACAGTACTATATACACTGAGTAAACACATTAGGAACACCTGCTCTTTCCGTGACAGACTGACCAAGTGAAAGCTATTATCCCTTATTGATGTCACCTGTTAAATCCACTTCAAATCAGTGTAGATGAAGGGGAGGAGACAGGTTAAAGAATGATTTTTAAGCCTTGATACAATTGAGACATGGATTGAGTATGTGTGCCATTCAAAGGGTGAATGGGCAAGACAAAATATTGAAGTGCCTTTGAACGGGGTATGGTAGTAGGTGCCAGGCGCACCAGTTTGTGTGTCAAAAACTGCAACGCTGCTGGGTTTTTCCACGCTCAACAGTTTCCCCTGTGTATCAAGAATGGTTCACCACCCAAAATACATCCAGCCAACTTGACAATTGTGGGAAGCATTGGAGTCAACGTGGGCCAGCATCCCTGTGGAACGCTTTCAACACCTTATAGGGTCCATGCCCCGACGAATTCACGCTGTTCTGAGGGCAAAAGGGGGAGGTGGTTGAATATACACAGACGCCAAAACAGTGACGTAATGGGTTGAATGAAAGAATGGACCTTAGGCAGAATACTGAGCATACTATAACTACACAGCATCATACAGTATATTTAATTTCTGTCTGGTTAAGTTGAGATTAATGTGTACCTATCTTCAAGAAACAAGAGCCTCAAGGTTGGTGACACCAATCCAAACATTCCCTAAGATTCTTTGATCTCATTCTCTCTGCTTTACAGAGGTGACCAACTCAGCCATATGTGTAAGGGACATTTTGACAGAAGTGCTTGCAGTTAGTCAGATACATCTCTCTTAGTATTCAGTCACCGTCTGCTGAAGATGACAAGGCCTTGGGTGAGACTCCAGCCTATGAAATGTCATAAAAGTGTCTTGTCAAATTTAAGGACGTATCTGTGTCAACTGTGATAAACATCAGTGAAGTAGGACATTCAAACATACATAAAGTGCAGTCCAGGGCCCGGTTTTCCAAAAGTATCTTAAGGCTAAGTTCATCGTTAAATCTCCGAGCAGTTTCCCAAAACCATTGATACTAAAGTTGTACTTGAAAATGCTCATTATTTACCGACTGCCTCAGACCACTCGTAGAACTAAGTGAGTCTTTAGATGCTTTTTTGCTCTTCCGCGTCACTTCATAAACAGAAGATCTATGCTTAACATAGAATCAAGATGTTTATCGGTAGGTGACCACCGATAACTTCAGCAGCGCTGCCTTTCTTTCGATCCTATCACTATATTGACATGCTCCAACGATGCACTTCGTGAACGTTCTCGGTGTGGTGTTTTGGGAAACGCATGTTGCATCTTTCCTATAACAGCCGAAGATGTATCGTTAAAAACACTCATAAGCCGAAGTTCCATCGCTGTAGGGAAACCGGGCCCAGGCCTGTTTGCTATCCTACAGAAGGCTAGAAAACAGAGACAATCACAACCCTTTATTTTCCTTTTTACCATGAAGGTAATTTGTAGGTCACCCTCTACAGATCCAGCAATGCAACGCTCGAGCCATATTCACCCACATACTTGGAATTAAACCCAAAAGCATGAAAACCATCCCAGCCAACATTGGTCAGGTGGGCTACTGAACAGGAAATTAAAAACTTCCCTCTGGCAAGAAAATGTAGACGCTCCAGGTGCACAGAGCAGGGTATATCCTCACCAAGTAAAATTTAGTTTTTAAAAATCACCTCACTCAACACTTTTCTTTTACAGTTGGGAGATCCAAACAGTACTCTCCCAGAGCTTAGCACATCTCTATTGAGAGAACACTAGCATAGGTCAGTGTCCAGTATATACAATGATGTCTGGGTAAACGTAGGGAGGTCTATCGGAAGAGGCGGTACATGCGAGGCAGGCGTCCGTCCTTGCTGGACAGGGCAGCTTGGATGTGCTCATAGGAGGGCATCTCGGTCAAGTCTCCTAGCGCTGCTACTGCTGGCTTGCTGCGCAGCATCTTGGTTGTGACCCTCTTGATATCGCTTGCTGTAATGTTACCTGGAAAGAGGAGTGAGTGAAAAGTTGGCAGATCAGTAGTTCTTTATGCTATGACAGTTATGATTAGTCATTTCCCTGCAGATTGTTGGACACCAATGTTTCATTCTGGGCTTGCTGATATTTATATCCACTATTATGACCCAGGGCACTATTACTCACTGATGAGGTCACACAGCTCATGTGGCAGCTTCCTCTTCCCTGTGGCTAGAACCTGTCGGCCGACATCCTCAAAGATAACCGGACGCGACTCCAGGTTCATCATCAGCATGGACTTGAGCTGCGTCTTCGCTCTTGCCAATTCCATCTGAGCACAGAAAGAGAGATGCAAAGTTTGGAAGTTCAAAGAGAGTTCCATGTTCAGAAAGCTTTGTCAATTTAAAATGGCTTGTGTGATAATTTCCCACACCAGGCTAATGGCAAGCCTTACCTCTCCTGCTGTCCCAGCCATCTGAATGAACTCTCTGGTTATAATCTCCACCATTTCCCGAACCTTGACAAAGCAAGATGTTGTAATCAACAACGTTGGAATGGCAGCCCTTTCACAACTTCAGAGAACACACATAATACAAAGTCAAATCCAGGGGCGGCAGATAGCCTAAAGGTTAGAGCATTGGGCCAGTAACAGAACGATTGCTAGTTAGAATCCCCGAGCTGACAAGCTGAAAAATCTGTCGATGTGCCCTTGAGAAAGGCACTTAACTCTAATTGCTCCAGGGTCACCGTTGATAATGACAGACCCTGGCCCCTTTCACAAAAATGGGTCGCTCCTACAAACAGTGAGTCGCGTGGCCGCGGTTGCTATATAAAGCAGGCAGACCAGCATAGGAATTCAGTTACTGTTCAATTCAACATTAGGCGGGGCAAAACGAGTGACCTAAGACTTTGAGCGTGGTATGAAACGGCCAGCCTCCTGGGCTTTTCACACACGACAGTGTCTAGGGTTTACAGAGAATGGTGCGACAAACAAACATCCAGTCAGCGGCAGTCCTGTGGGCGAAAACAGCTCGTTGATGAGAGGTCGAATGAGAATGGCAAGAATCGTGCAAGCGGCAGGCCACCAACAGGCAAATAACGGAGCAGTACAACATTGGTGAACAAAACGGCTTCTCGGAACGCACAACTCGTCAGTCCTTGTCTATTGCAGCAGACGACTACACCAGGTTCCACTCCTATCAGCTAAAAACAAGAAGCAGCTCCAGTGGGCACGTGATCACCAACACTGGACAATTGAGGAGTCTAAAAATATTGCCTAGTCCTACGAAACCCAGTTCCTGTTGCGTCATGCTGATGGCAGTCAGGATTTGGCGTAAGTAGCGTAAGTCCATGGCCGCAGGCTGGTGGCGGTGGTATAATGATGTGGGGAATGTTTTCCTGGCACACGTTAGGTCCCTTGATACCAATTGAGCAACGTCTCCATGCCCGAAGAATTCAGGCTGTTCTGGAGGCAAAGGGGGGTCCGACACAATACTAGATGGGTGTACCTTATAAACTGGCCACTGAATGCATGTATTAATACACACTTGTAAATGTGTGACATTTGACAAATATAAACACCCACCAAATTATTTATTATTTAAAAAAGACATAACAAAAATGTTTTATTTTTAACAGATGTTATTCTCCAAGCATATGGCTGCTTTGTATTAGCCCTTTAAACTACAGTGTAAAGTCCTGCCCTGCCTCTCCTGAAACCCCTCTCCCTACCTGTCTGGGGTCTGCACTGGCATGGATACACAGCAGGCCGCTGTCCTCATAACTGTGATGGTATGAGGTGGCATTGTACATCCAATGATGCCTGAAAAATAAAAAATGTATAAAAACATGAATTTAAATAAAGAAATCCATCGAAATTACTTTAATTAGAATTTAGAAGGATGCGTCCTGCTTACCTGTTGAGCACGTTCAGGTAAAGCCGGGTGAACATGCCTTTCCCAGGACCCCCCGCTGAGAAGGACCCACCTCCACCCATCATCATGTTGAGGACGGCAAATGGGATAAAGTCCTCCTCCTGTATCACAAAACATGCATATTAACATCCAGACACAGGATAACCTAGATAGAGCCTGCAACAGTTCAAGCAAGTGGATGGGAGATTCTCCACACCAACCAACCACAGTGAGCACCCACTAGGAAGGAGCAGCTCTCCAGGCCAATCATGATGTGGGTGAGCTCAGGAATGGGGGTGGGGCCAAGGCTCACATCTGACATATCCTTATCCATCTGAGAGGATCAAAACAGAGATTTACATTCTGATTTAGTTAAATAAATATAAGAAAAGGAAAAAGTAAGCAATGAAAGGGAAACATCTTGATGCTCTTACCCTTACGATTCCACCAGTGTACTGTGCCACAGACAGGTCGACATTGGTAGGCGTACTGGCTCCCCATACTGGCTTCACATCCAGCAGATATTTCCTGGCGCAGGCCACCAGTTGTTCATGTTCGATGCCCACTCCGGCTAGCACCATACGCTCTGGACAGTAGTAGCTCCGCAGGTACGTGTGTAGCAGCTTCTTGTCGATCTTCTCCACGTTGTCTACTGGACAGAAGCGAGGCAACCCAACGGTGTTCCCCCGATATGCTGCCTAGTCACAGAGTAAGTGTTGTGAAACGTTATGTATCGTCATACACATTTGTCCACAAATGGCACAATTGATGATCTAGGCTCACTGCAGAGGTGGGGCCAAAGTAAATCAGTAACAGTGCAACAGACTTCATGCAGCTCAAGAGTGTTGTAATTTCTGAGTGTATCAATCAATCAATCAATAGTATGACTCACTGCGTGGATCATCTCCGTCAGTAAAGGTTCAGGGTCAGGCCTCATGTTCAGATCCTCCAGCTCAAAGCGCACAGCCATCCTAGTCATCTCGATCTCCTCATCTAGTAACCAAAAGCAGAGCAATCCCTGAAGAAAATATACTCCAACAAAAACATTTACTAGTCTGTTCCTTTTGTAGACAATTCAATGAAGTCAACATTTTCTCCAAATCATTGAAGGAGACCTCAAACATGAGATCCGTCACTCAGTGTTGACTCACCTAGTAGGCGTGGCTGCAATACAGCATCAGAGAGCAGGCTGACTACCGTGTCCAGTCCCTTCACCTCGGCAGAGACCGCATACATGGTGGTGTCTCTGTGAATAAAAACATCATACAAACTGACTGAAGAGTTTCATCCCCTTCTAAAGCAGTACAACATTGAAAGGGATAAAGAGTACCATGACTATATTGTTAGTATACCTTTCCATCAGTCAGAGAGAAAATATACAGTGCCTGGACATTAAAGCCAAAGAAATGATTCATACCTGGATGTTTGGCAGTCACAGATCCCTCCATGTTTTTCAAGTGTGAGAAGAATTTCATCTTTACTGCCATACTGGGCTGTGGACTGAAGATGCATATTGTACTTTCATCGTTTCCCATAAACAAAAACATGGCCATCAATTTGCTTATGCTACAACAGTGACAACACTGAGGCAAAACAGTGGAACATCTGCTTTGAGACACCTTGTGCAAGAGATGACACTTACAGAAAAGGCTAGTTTCTCCACAAAGTGTGCAATTCCACTGGGGTATTTTGTCTCATGCCTGGAGCCTGAATTTACTAAAACTGGAAGGAGGGAAGAAGCAAATCATTATTCAGTCATACTATATTGATTATGCAGCAATGGAGACTTAAATAGAATGATAAGGAAAGATCAGTTCTATTCAAATACTGTAGGAACTTACTTCCAACCGTGCAGAACTGACCAAACTTGTTTTGAGATGCTACTTTAAGGCCATTTTCCAATGTAGTGATTTTAGTCTCGCATTGTTCATGCCCATCAACGGACGCAAACACTGGTTTAGGGATCCCTGGTAATGGTGCAGAGAGTGAGATATTTGGATATCTGCTGCCACTGCTGTACTTTCTATATACTGCAATTCCGTACCTGTAAATGCAAAGACGTAAGGTTTAAATTTGCCTAATAAATCAGACTGTAATCCCAGATTTATGCAATCCAGTCTGAATTAAAGGACTGCAAAAACATGGGAAGTTTCCTTACAAGCCAGAATGATTAATAAAATTACATTTGAACTTAGTCTTCCGGTTGTCTGTGCGGTTGGTCCTTATTTAGGTAGACATTTTATTAACCCGACTTTTTTGAATAATCGGTACTATAACCTGACACATGCGCAAAACCATGTAAACACCTGCAAGACTTTGGTTAGTATGCGTTACGTGCATGTACTTCCGTCTTGTGCACGTGCCTTAAGCTAGGCATACATTACACGAAAACAAAAATCTTCACATCTTGGGAGCACCAACATTATGTGAATTGTCTGCATAATCTTGTTATCCTGAAGTATGCGACTGGTGTGCTCACATTACACAAGTTTGCTCATTTTGCGACCTGTCTAGACCCATCCCTGTCCTAAAATGTCCAGATGTGTCGTGGTGCCTGTGGCTTTAAGAAGTGTCATCATTACCCCTTCTCTGTGGTTGAAGCCAAGCAACAGAGGACAAGTTGCACTAAATCGCATTGGAGAAAAAATACGAACCAAAATGTCTGGCATGTTATCTGGACCTAAGATGTGGATCGGGAGAGCGAAAGACCCATTAATCGCACTTCTTTCACCCGCTTACATTATTTTTTTAATAATGTGATTTTAATTATGCGATCTAAGACGTCTTGGTCAGAGCCTACAACGATCCCAGAAATGTGTTGTGGATCCCAAGTAGTCGCAAAATCGCAGTTTAAAATCGTGTGATGTATGGCCAGCTTTAGTTGATGAGCAGACAAATCGTGATAAAACGCTGATATCTGTGTGTGGCTAAGTCAGTTAATATTACTTTCCTGTGGATATTTCATCTCACATTTCCACCCGAATAAGGATGAAAATCAGCAGACAAGTCAGCAGACAAGTTCAAATTAGGTTTATTTAACATTCTGACTTGTAAAGAGCCAGTTTGTCATTTTAGACCATATATGTTAGAGACTAGTGAGAAAATAAATGTCACACTCAGATTCGAAAGAGGCAAGGTTTAGGTTAGTTTATGGATTGCGGCAATCAACAACAGTACGTCTTGACATTCAGGAGAACTGAAGTCACAACTAAGTACCAGATTCACCTTCCCACACATCCTAGGTAGCACCTAGACCAAGATGTACTCTTAAGGAGCCTAACATTAGCGTTACTCCTTAAGGTCCAAGGACCTTACGCTATTTTCAGAGGTAGACTGGCTCTGGTAGCCAAAACAGCCAGATACTCCATCTGTAAACACAAATTGATTCTCAATTGCTGTACAGTTCTAGAAACATAAAGTCCCCTAATTTCATATCACATATGCAAAATATACACTGTACTAACCGGTTTTAACACAGTTGTAGCAGACAGGACAATGTCATGTGTAAATGCTAGGGATGTGCATCTTTCCCTTTAAAGATGACTCAATACGTATTCAGATACATGTGTTCTGATACAAAACAGGAATGATGCATTTTAGTTTGAAACGATTCGGTGCGATTCAGTTTGATTAGAGAACGAATCAATGAGATTCGGTTCGATGCGATTATCTAACATTTGTTACAGTAAGGGTGTGAAAGGAAGGCCCGGAAAATCAATAAAAACTCCAGCCACCCAAGCTGTTCTGTTTCTGCACAATACCTCATAATGACAAAGCGAAAAAAGGTAAGACATTTCTGCACATAAAAAAAAATACAATTTACATAAGTATTCACCCTTTGCTATGAGACTCGAAATTGAGCTCAGGTGCATCCTGTTTCGATTGACCATGCTTGAGATGTTTCTACAACTTGGAGTCCACCTGTGGTAAATTCAATTGATTGGACATGATTTGGAAAGGCACACACCTGTCTATAAGGTCCCACAGTTGACAGTACATGTTAGAGCAAAAACCAAGCCATGAGGTCAAAGAAATTGTCTGTAGAGCTCCGAGACAGCATTGAAGGTCCCAAAGAACACAGTGGCCTCCATCATTATTTAAATGGACGAAGTTTGGAACCACCAAGACTCTTCCTAGAGCTGGCCGCCCAGCCAAACTGAGCAATCGGGGGAGAATGGCCTTGGTCAGGGAGGTGATCAAGAACCCGATGGTCACTCTGACAGAGCTCCAGAGTTCCTCTGTGGAGATGGGAGAACCTTCCAGAAGGACAACCATCTCTGCAGCACTCCACCAATCAGGCCTTTATGGTAGTGGCCAGACAGAAGCCACTCCTCAGTAAATGGCACGACAGCCCGCTTGGAGTTTGCCAAAAGGCACCCAAAGACTCTCAGACCATGAGAAACAAGATTCTGGTCTGATGACACCAAGATTGAACTCCTTGCTGAATGTCAAGCATCACGTCTGGAGGAAACCAGGCACCATCCCTATGGTGAAGCATGGTGGTGGCAGCATTATGCTGTGGGGATGTTTTTCAGCGGCAGGGACTGGGAGACTGAACGGAGCAAAGTAGAGAGAGATCCTTGATGAAAACCTGCTCCAGAGTGCTCAGGACCTCAGATTGGGGTGAAGGTTCACCTTCCAACAGGACAACGACCCTAAGCACACAATCAAGACAACACAGGAGTGGCTTCGGGACAAGTCTCTGAATGTCCTTGAGTGGCCCTGCCAGAGCCCGGACTTGAACCTGATCGAACATCTCTGGAGAGACCTGAAAATAGCTGTGCAGCAACGCTCCCCATCCAACCTGACAGAGCTTGAGAGGATCTGCAGAGAAGAATGGGAGAAAATCCCCAAATACAGTTGTGCCAAGTTTGTAGCGTCATACCCAAGAAGACTCGAGGCTGTAATCGCTGCCAAAGGTGCTTCAACAAAGTACTGAGTAAAGGGCCTGAATACTTATGTAAAATGTGATTTCAGTTTATTTTTAATAAATGAGCAAACATTTCTAAAAACCTGTTTTTGCTTTCTCATTATGGGGTAGTGTGTAGATTTTAGAATAAGGCTGTAACGTAACAGAATGTGGAAAAAGTCAAAAGGTTCTGAATACTTTCCGAAGGCACTGTATATCTATGGTGTATGTAATGTGTGTGTGAATGAGCCAATGTTTATTGTCCCCCCACTTATTTATATAGTTTACAAATTAGCTATGACATCACCAGTGAATATATAGCACAACTTTGGATTTTACCCCACCTCAAAATCGAATGGTTGACCATTTGGAAGTTTAGTGAGCTTATTTTCTCCTGCTTTGGCCATGCAGTGTGCTGTCGTCATTATGAAATTGTCAACTTTACCCAGAATATCTAAAAATGACCATATACACTGATTGTTTAAAGCAAAACTATTGCTGATGGTGAATCCAAACGATCTAAAAAATCTATTATATGCCCAGTTCAGCAGGTAGCCTATAGCTAGATGAGTTGTCTCCGGTAGCTTACTTTTATTCCGGTAAAACAACTTTCAACAGCGCATAGATAACAACCTAGCAAATTACATAGGCTTTTTTCCTTTAGTGACAACCTAATAGCACGCAACCATTTTAGCATTTGAATGCTGAAGTTGCCACGCAGATGTTCAAGATCAGGAACATGGCTGCCTACCTTGTGTTGGTCAGCGCCTGAATCTGTGCAGTGTGCAAAGCTGGGCGCAGTTTGACTAGGATACTTGAATTACCTGGGGTTGTTCTTGTTCGGCATGCAAAACAAATGTCAACACAGTTACATGCTTAGGTCGACACTGAAGGTGCCACAAAATATCAGGTATTTTCAGAAGGTAGAAAAAAAGTAATGAGCAAAATGTTTTAGTAGATCTGCTATTCGTAAAATTCGAATGGATTATCTGACCGATGCATGCTACATTTGGATCGGTTTGGGGTCCGTGGACCAGTTGTATCTTAAAGATGCTGCATGGTCAATCCGATGTCTGCATTGGCCGTGCAGCAGTTACAGTGAAACGGCCTCTGCAGAAGTCAAGGCATTCATACTTCTTGTGCTTTACAGAGCAGCACAAAGCTGTTGTGAAGGAATTTGTCAAGGAAGTGAGTTTGTGTTTATACAGGACCTCCTGCCTAGGGCTGTTGCGGTGACCGTATTACCACCACACCGGCGGTCACGAGTCATAAAGGCAGTCAAATTCCATGTGACCGTTTAGTCACGGTAATTAGGCTTCTCCAAGCTCTGATGCTGCTGACGGTCATTAGCAGCCTACCAAACTTGCTAACTGCCTGGTACTCAGCACTCTATTGTCCCTCTAATCACTGACAACGCAAATCTAATCAAACACTTCATGAGAGCCCGTGAGCTCATGTTGCACAACGTTTCTATAGGCTATGAAATTGCGCAAGAAAACACAATGATGGCCTCTATTAAAAAGAGGAGGATCCCATTAGCTTTCTATAGGCTAGGCCTACTATATTTATTTCTCAACTTTCCTAATATTAAGCACATTGCTTATCTTTACAACAGAACTATAGTCTACCTAGCTGGCATGAAAGTGAACCACAACAAACGCGTCCTACATTCGCTATTTAACTGCAGAGATGACATGCACACTACCGGTCAAAAGTTTTAGAACACCTACTCATTCAAGGGTTTTTCTTTATTTTTACTATTTTCTACATTGTTGAATAATGGTGAAGACATCAAAACTATGAAATAACATATGGAATCATGTAGTAACCAAAAAAGTATTAAACAATTCAAAATATATTTTATATTCTTCAAATAGCCACCCTTTGCTTTGATGACAGCTTTGCACAATCTATAGTTATAGTTTTAAATGTCTTCACTATTATTCTACAACACAGAAAATAGTAAAAATAAAGAAAAACCCTGGAATGAGTAGGTGTTCTAAAACTTTTGACCGGTAGTGTACAGTTGAAGTCGGAAGTTTACTTACACCTTAGCCAAATACATTTAAACGCAGTTTCACAATTCCTGACATTTAATCAGTGTAAAAATTCCCTGTCTTAGGAGGGTTTACTTTAAGAATGTGAAATGTCAGAATAATAGTA